GTCTCTTTAGTGAGCAGAGAAGATTGGTGGAGATTAAGGTTGACTCCCTAAACGCTTGTGGGTTTTTTAAAAAAATATTGGAGCCAGGAGTCTCTACATGAACCAAGTGGAATTGCTCTCCCTTTGGCCTCCTGCTCGAGAGAGTCAAGATCCACATCAGCTTAGTCAACGCTCCTGAGACTATTCAAGTCATCTGTTGAAGGTTGTTTACTTTGACACATCCCAAGCTTGGTAGGTGGTGACATCCTTTCTTTTCATGCTACCTATTCACACCTAGGACTCTCGGTTCCTGGTAGCAGGTTTTAGGAAATGTGGACCAGGCCATCTCCGTCGGGGCCAGGTGCTCCCTTTGCTCAAGCTCCAGTCTGCCCCTGTTCCCTGCAGCCCGCCACCAGCAGTCCCGCGTGTGGGTCTGCGTGTGCCGTCAGCACTCATGGTGTGTCTCTGTGCAGCTCAGAGGGCTCCTCAACATGCCTAAGGTCAAGCTCTGGGCCCTGGCAATTCCTAGCGATGGCCAGCTGGACTAAAACACAGTGAAACATCACCCACCGTTCCCCAGCTCACCCAATAACCTAGCATCTAAGAGACCAACTGCACGGCAGGTACTGACGACAAAGTCACGAAGGAAGGAAGATGTTTCTCTGGCCTCTTGAAGCGGATTGCAGGCTCAAGCTCTCATGTAAGTGCGGCCCAGTCACTCCTGTGCAGGGACAAGCCAGATGCATGTGTCTGTCGAAGGTGGATTGTGAGGGGAGAATTCTCTAGGGCTTAATTTGGTGACTGAGAGGTCAAAGTACAGTAGCCATCTAGAAAGCTGGGTGTGCTTCTAGGACACTGTATTCTCTATGAGCTCCTAGGCACACTGGGCTTCACTTTCCTCATTTGCTGAATGGGAATACAGAGCCTTACACGGTTCGCTTCCCAGCAGTCCTTGAGAGCGCCAATCAGACAACATGTAGGAATGCATTTTGCTACCCCATGTGTCAGAACTGACTCCATGGAAGTGAGTGTCATTTTTAGGTTTTGTTTATTACGTTTAAGGTGCTATCTAAGGATTCCTGGGTGGGGGGGGGGTTGGCACAATGGGTTAGGTGTTGGGCTGCTAACCACAAGGTCCGTGGTTCAAATCCACCATCTGCTCCATGGGAGAAAGCTGATGCTGCCCGTTTGTTCGGTTGAGCATAGAGTCTCGGTGTGGGAACCAGCTCAATGGCACTTAACAACAGCGTGTGTTGGAATTGACTTGTTGGCAGTGGGTGGGTCGGTGCTATCTGGATAACCCAGGTGGGGCACCTGGCTAACAGGCTGGGCTACTAACCCAGAGGTTGGAGGTTTGAATTCATGCAGAAGCACTCTGGAAGGAAGGCCTGGTGATCTGCTTGTAAAACAATTATCCACGGAAGACCCTGTGGGGCACAGCTCTTTACTGGCAAACCCAGAGTCACCGCGAGTCAGAAGCAAGTCGCGGTAACTCATTGTTTTAAGGCGTTACCCAGTGCGTTCCCCGGAAGGGGCATGCAGTCCTCTCTGTGCACCGGGGAAACAGAAAGGAGCTGTTTACTGAGGAGAGAACATGAGAGGTTGTTATCAGCTGCCATCTGCTTCCTCTCATTCATGACAGCCACAAGTACAGCCCAGCCCTGTGCCATCCCAGGCACTGTCGTCATCCATAACATGTTTATTGATGGCTTTTTGAAAGCTGATTCTCCGGTCTTTCTTCAGCTCCACTGACACGTGCTCAGTATAATAAAACTTAAAAAAAATCCATTGCCATTGAGTCAATTCTAATTCACAGCAAGCCTGAGAGGGTTTCTAAGTCTGTAATCTTATGCAGGAGAGGGAGCCCTGGTGTCATAGGGTGTTATACTCGGAGCTGCTAACTGCAAGTTCAGCAGTTCAAAACCACCGGCCACTCCTCAGGTCAAGTGTTTCAGTCTCAGAAGCCCACAGGGGAAGTTCTCTTCTGCCTGACAGGGTTGCTATGCGTTGGAATCGACCCGATAGCAGGGTGTTGGAGGTTTGGGTTTCAATCCTTGTCGAAGGAGACTGCCTCATCTTGTCCCTGCGGGTTCTAATGACCAAGGTTTTGGTTAGCAGTTGACCACTTCTCCGGTGCACTAGTCAAACCACTGCTGACAGATGGGTGGGGATTGGGCATGCATTGCACTGGGTAGGGATCAAACCTATGTCTTCTGCATGGAAGGCAAGAATTCTACCACCGAACCGCCCAGGCTCCTAAACAGGATGCAGGAATCTGCTGTTTGCGCTGCTGGTCTCAGCACCACGTGTCTCTCTCCATGTGAGCATCCCATCTCCTGGTGACGCGGATCTTTAAAGATAGGCATTTTCCACATAACGTGGCCCTGAAATGCAAGCCAAGCACGTCGCCTGCTCCTTAACCAACTTAGCCTGGGTGTCTCTGCCAGCATGGCCCCTCACCACCAGGGCACCTTCCTAGGATGCTCTTAAGGGTGATGTGATGTTGACTGGGTGTCACGTGCTGCCTTGGCGCCTATGCCAGAGATGCCTCCTTCATACAGGTGTGGAGCTCAAGACCACCAAAGGCCGCCCCTGGGGGACCCCAAAGGCTCCAAGAAGGTGGCTCCCAGAGCAGGACAGGTTGAGCCCCAGAGGAGGCTCTGGGCTACCAGCCTTCTCTCCAAGGATATCAACTTGACAGTCACTGACTGTCCCAGTGGAGCGCCCCGGGACTCCTCATGGGGCCCCCTCACTCTCACAGGCCGTGCTTCTCTCCCCAGCCTGCTTGCTCGCCATTGCCCGCGGCGGCGGCGGCGGCAGGCTCGCGCCTGCGGTAGTAGCACCAGGCACGCAGCCTGTTTGCAGACGCGGCCCTCCCCCTCTCATTCAGACTGCAGCTCATTCACTCTGCTGGGCGCTGGCAGGCTGCGGCTGGGCGCGCTCCGTGTGACAGTTTATTTCTGGCTGTGTGTGTGTGTGTGTGTGTGTGTGTGTGTACACGCGCGCGCAAGGGGCAGCAAGGGAGTTCCTCTCCTCTTCCAGTGGGGGGTCTGTGTATTCCCAGCTCCAAATCTTTCTCGGCACTTACGAGTTTTTGCTGCCTTGGACCGAGCGCCTGGTCTGGGCCGGACAGTTGTGTTCAGTCATCCTGTTTAATGCCTCGCTGCCACCCTGAAGAAGATCTTAAGGGCCCTATTTGTATCTGAGGAACGCATGGGTAGAAATGTGAAGCAAGAGGCCCCCTAATCCAACAGGTAGCAAATGACAGAACTGAGCTAACCCTAGCGCCTTCCAGCACTAGTCTCTCTGTTCGTGCACCATTGAATCTCCCACCTCTTCTAGAGGTGCCTGTCAGGACTCCTTACCATGGTACTTTGTTTTTATGCAATCCCAACACCCGACTGAGCCTCGCTGCAACACTCGGCTGGCTTGGGTGGTCTGGGAATGGCGGAAGCCAGAGAGCGCTAAGGTTTCTTAGAATCAAGGCTGGGGCCACCAGCCCCGTGGTCTGTGGGTCTTCTCTCGCCCTCTCATTTTCTCACTCCATCCAACCGCAGGCTTCTCTCCCAAAATATTACCACCCCATTGTACTGATTGTGCGCGCGTGTACACACACACACACACACACACACACACACACATCACTACCTGTAGTATCACAAGGTCATTGAATTTCTCAGATTTGGGTTCAAGATTTGTCAAGCCCTGCAAGCCTAGACATACCCTTTAAGGCCTCCGTGCCTTAGCTTGTTCATCAAGGGCAGGCTAAGCAGATGGGCTTGTCCAGAGTGATGAATGAAAACTCACTGCCATCGAGTCAGTTCTGACTCATAGCGACCCCTGTAGGGCGGCTAGGCTGTGATTCATGGGGAGAGCAGACAGAGCTGTGCCAAGTGGTCCCACACCGGGCATTACTAAGCGCTTTGTGCCCAGGTCGACTTCAGACCTGGACGCTGCCCACCGGGTCTCATCTTTGGCTCCTGGGAAACTTGGGGCAGTAGGAACAATGGGAGCCCATTCTGTCTCTGGTCTCTGGTTCAGGAAAGGTGGATCCTTCTCAGAGATTTCCTCATGCCCACTCTGCCTGGTTCCAGCATGAGAGGCTGGCCAGCCATGCACCACAGCCAGAAGAGTGCTGGCCCTGGCAGCTGTCTCTGGGAGCTTCAGGGTTAACGTGTGTGCGTCAAAGTTACGTGGAGAAAAGGGGCCACAGCCAGGAGAGGGGTGGTGGTGAAGACAGAGCCCCCTGTAACATCTTTGCTGGACAGCAAAGCTAGAGAAGTTTAAAGGCAGAGGGAGAGAGATGCGCCCCTTGGGAAGGCGGAAGAGTGATCTTATGACTGCCAGCATCACCGCACCCGTGTTCTGCATCCAGAGACAGGCAGAGACATGGAGCCTGGAGCCTGGCTGCCGACCCTGCCAGAAGGTCCTGGGGTGGCCAGAGCCACAGGCTGCTTACACATCTCCTTTGGGCCCCCAAGCCCCCCTCCCTCTCTCAAGGACCCCAAGAGTGAAGCAGAGTGGGCATGGCTCCGCAAGGCAGATGGGGTCAGAGAGGTTAAGAGATGAAGGTTGAACATGAGAGAAGGTGTCCAAAGGGCTGGAGCTTCTGACTCCTGCAGATGGTCGCAGGGGTGGTCGCTCCTCCCAGGCTCAGAGCCCCGCCAGGGGGTTGTCCGTGGGCCGCAGCAGGCATGAGTTGCAGGTGGAGCATACGGAGCTTTTGCGGCCCACACCCCACACCGGGTCCCTTCCCAGACAGGTAGCTGGTTGCCCTCAGCTTTGGAGCGATGGCCGGATGGCGCCCCAGGGACATCCTCCCTAGCCCCTCTCTCAGACTGCTTCAGTAAGGCACTTGCAACTTCACCTTGCTGCTGTAAGAGTGAGGGAAGACTGAAAGTGGTGCGGAAATGCCAATCCATCACAAAAGTGTCCCTTCCAATCCCCTCCCCTAGATGCTGCAGGCTCCCCACCAAGCTAGGAAACCCCTCCAGGCAAGAAAAGAAGCAGGTCCATCTTACCCAGCGACTCAGGAAGAATGGTGCTGTCAGGCTCCCACTCCAGCTCCTACAGGTCTGTGAGGATTAGCCGCTCCAGTGCTTTAACAATAAACCGCATTAAAGGGGAGGAATGCAGGGGTTTTCTTTCCCAGGACCGTAACCAGGCAGCCTTAAAGGGGAGTGAAAGTCGCTAGCGTGGCTGGCATTTCTCCTTCCTTTCCTCTGCTCAGCAGCAACCCCCCGCCCCCCCTTTCCCAGCTGCATCCAGTCTGATCCAGACACATGCTTTTGTGATGGGCCCTTTGATGCCTGATGGGTGTGCTGTGGAGGGAGAGAGAGAGAGAAAGAGAGAGAGAGAGAAGGATAAGAAACAAAACCAGAAGATCAACTTGTAGGTTTCCCTAGGTCCAGATGCGATGATAACAGAATAGGAGAGTGGCTTTCCAGAACTGTCTGCCTCAGTTTCCCTTTTAAGAGCTCAGCTCATAGAATAGGTTGTCTAAAAATATTTCCCAGAGGAGAAGTATGTCTGCACTGTCTGGTATGTAGAGACCAAAAGACACCAGTCAGTGTAGTCACTCAGCAGATGGGGACAGACCCCTTTACATGACCCATAGGGGGGAACCCTATGTTGGAAGGTTCCACCCCATGTCTCTGAAATGAAGGACCTGCTCTTGAAAGTTTTCATCCAATGTCTGTGACACGTCTCCACCATCTCTTCCCCAAATTGGACACACTTGTCTCAGCCCTAATCCATTAGACCCTAGAAAACCATTTCCCTTCCTCTGGAAGCACCCTGCTCCCTCTGACTCACCCCGGGACCAGGCCTTCACAGAAAAACCATCTGGGCTTTTCCTAGGTGGCCCTTCTGTGTAGTTTCCTTTAATCTCTGTTTTTCCTTGTTTCGCTTTTCCTTCTCTGCTCCCACCCTAGTGGTAACAGTTGTTCACCAAGTCCGGGACCCCCTTCACGTCAATATCCACTCAATATCCTTCTCTGCATCGCCATCACCGCGGCGGTCTACCTGAGCATGTGGTGGCCACCTTCCAAAGAGTCGCCTCCTGCTTTGTTTTTACCGAGGCAGACACCCGAGCCATTCTCTTGAGCGGCTTTGTCCCTTCAAGGTCTTTCAAATCCAATCAGTTGTTAGGCATTTTAATTGCTTCTTTGAATTTGCTTTTCAATGGTGCCTCTTTATTTTGTATTATTATGTATATATATATTTACCAAAGAATACATTCATATAGATGGAAATATCAGAACTGTATTAAAATGCATCCACCCCATGCCATTCCACTCCCATCTGCTCCTTTCCCCATCTCCCCTTTATGGGGGACTGAACCCAACTCCACAGCCATCAATTCTTGATCCTACTGCTCCTACAGGGTAGAATAGAACTGCCCCTTAGGACTTCGGATTCTGTAAATCTTTATAGATGCAGAAAGACTCATCTTTCTCCCTTGGAATGACTGGTGGGTTTGAACTGCCGACCTTATGGTTAGCAGCCAAACTCATAACCCACATTGACACAGGACTCTTTTCTATCGATGACTCAAACCCAAACCAAACTCTGCCATCCAGTCCATTCTGACTCATAGTGACCTCATAGGGACAGCCTTCATTAATTTTTCATGTACCCCTCCAGCGTTTCCATCTATACTTCTTCTTCCCTTGCACAAGTAGCAGAAAATGAACGCTGCTACCTTCATTTTCCCATCTCCTTAATCTTTGTCTTAGTGTGAAATGAAAGATATCATTGTGGATATCAGACGGACGTCAGAAAGGTGTAAGCAGAGAATATCAGGAAGGTGCTTACTTGTGTTTTATTGACTGTATGGAGCAAAACAGACGATAGGCAACATTTCAAAGGATGGAAATTCCAGAACTCTTAGACTAACAGGTAGTTGTTTGAAAAGAACAAGAGGATAATAAGTGGTTTAAAATCAAGAAAAGTGTTCATGAGGGTTGTGTCCTCTCGCCATATTTATCCAATCTGTATCTGAGCAAAGGATCTGAGAAACTCGACCATATGAAGAAGAACTCAGTATCAGGATAGGAAGAAGGCTCATTAACAACTTGTGCTATACAGACGACTTTTGCTTGCTGGAAGCAAGGAGGAGTTGAAGCCTAAGTTGAAGATCAAAGACTACATCCTCCTGCATGGATTATAGCAGTGCACTTAAACCCAAGTTCACTGTCATCGCAATGATTCCAACTCATAGCAACTCTAGAGGGCCAGGTAGAGCTGCCCCTCTGGATTTCTGAAGCTGTAACTCTTTATAAGAGTCGGAAGAATGGTTTCAACTGCTAACCTTGCAGTTAACCCTCCAATGTGTAGCCCACTACACTCCCAGGGCTTATGTACAGAAAATGAAAGTCTTCACAAGTGGATCAAAAGACACCACCGTGATAAAAGGATAAAAGTTTGAAGTGAACAAGGATTTCATTTTACCTGGATCTGAAATCAATGCTCATGGAAGTAGCAGATCAGAGATGAAATGAAATTATATGCAGCATTAGGCAAAGATACCACAAAGGAATATTTAAAGTGTTAAAGAACAAGCGTGCCATTTGGATGACGAACGTGCTCCTGACCCAAGCCATGGTCTTTTCAATAACCTCATATGTATGTGAAAACTGGACAACGAATAGGAAAGAGTGGAGAAGAATTGGCTTACAGTGCTGATAAAGACGACCGGATATACCAGATGGCCAGAAGAACAGACAGAGTTGTATTGGAAGAACCACAGCAGAAATGCTCCTTAGAAGCAAGAATGGCAACACCTTGCCTCCCTTACTTTGGACATACTATCACAGGGACCAGTCTCTGGAGAAGGGCATCAGAGTTGATAGAGGACCCATGGAAAAGAGGAAGGTCCTAAACAAAGTAGGTTGACAATGGGTTCAAATAGCAATGACTGTGACGCTGGATACGGACAGGAGAGTGGGGGAGTTCTACTCTATGCTGTCAGGTCGCTGTGAGTAGGACTCAACTCAATGGCTATTAGTTAGTTGGTAGTCTTTCATTCTGTTCGATGTGGAGTCTCTTTGAGTCAGAATTGACTCTATGGCACCTAATTACCACCCCTACCATCACCTCCACCA